GGTATAGTGATAGTGATATCCATTGTACCTTGTGTTTGGGAGATGCATTTTGAATAGGAAAGTTCATTTTGTTTTTTGGTTTGGTTGTTGATTCGGTTTGAGGAGTTTGATCCTGCGCTCAGCGTGTTGACTGAGAGGGCAGGTGTGGGCTATCAGCAGTGTGGCAGGGTCCTCTAGTGTATTGAGTGTTGTTTTTGTAGAGTTTCCCTTGATGGGTATAGCAACGTGGTCCTTTTGGGCTCGTTGGTTTGTTTTTTTAGTTTCACGCTACACATCCGTAGCTGTTGGGTGAGTTACCAGCTTGGCTGGGCTAGGGTTCAGTGAGATTAGGTTAGTTTGGTATAGGCAGTCTAGATAGAGGGGAACTTCACATTAACTTGGGGGGACACTAGTAGTGTCTCTTTTGTGCACTAGTTGGCCTGGGCAGCACTGTGTGTGGCTCTGTTGTCCTGTTTTCTTTTGCTGGGCTTAAGACAGTGTTTACTGTAGGATGGCAGGGATAGAGGAATTTGTTGCTCCCCCAAATGATGGTTTTTTGGATCGCTGCACTAAGGATCAGCTGACGAAAATTGCATTAGAGTATGAAACTGATCAGAGTGATCTTAGTGATAAACATAAGGACAGTGTGAAGGCTATGCTTAAAGCCTCAGTGTGTAAAAATGGTGAGTAACAGTGACATCAGCGGTCAAATTCTAGATTGCAGCGCTCACTTGCTCGCTCACCCCTCCCGTCGGGTAAGTGACGGTGGCCTCATAGGACAAAAAGTCTTGCACTAGTTTTTCAGGAGTATCTAGCAACGAGGTGAATATTTATTTAGGAATCTAAATCATGTTACGATATGTTATAGCTTACCAGTGAGATATATGTTAGGAGTGTTTTATTTCTAATTGTTTTGGTAACACAAGCAAACATTAGCACAGTAATGCTAAAACTAGAGTAGCAATTTCTGAAGAAATTGCGGGTGTGAATGCTGCGAGCTGAAGCCACACTGCAATGCTGTCTTGAATACAATGAAGTTTGAATGATCTGAATGTTTGAAAGTTTGTTGAAAAGCTGACTCCACACTGAATAGCTGCCTTTAATAAAATAAAGTTGGAATGATTAGAATATTTGAATGTTTTACTGAGATTTATGAAATCCAATATGGCCGCCGCCTAGTGACGCCACAATATGCAAATTAGATGAGTTAATTTACTCCCATCACAAACTTTGGGTCATGATGAATAGTTTTCTCATTTACAGTATGCCTTTATCTCTCACCACTTTCAAGCGAAAGCCTTTTGAAATGTTGAAATGAATATTTTCCTCAAATAACTCTACAACTAACTAACAACTAAAGGGTTAAAATGGAGATTCTACCCCTGTCATATCTGCATGTAAGATGTAGACACACACACACACATCATGTTTCTGTGAGTTTGTATGGCACAGCGGTTGCCATGGTAATAAACTAGGTGCACCTGGCAGAAGAGCAGAGAAAGACAGACAGAACACAGAGAAGAGAGCTCTTTTAGAGGAGATTTAACTCCTCAAACAAATTCTTCCCATACCCAAACCGTTGGTCCAATAATGAAAATAAAGTGATTGTGAGAGAGAGCCACTTCTCGTGAACGCACGTGTCATGTTTTATATTTCTACAGTCAAAAATGGGGTCACCAGAGCGAGTTACAAATGTGTTGCACCTCAGCTGTTTCCAGAAATTTGTCCTCTCAGTTTACATGGGAGTGAATGAGAAAAAAATCGGCGCTCCCTTCGCTTTGGAGCCACTCAGCAAAAATGTGTACGTGTCACAGATTCCATGTCAACATTTCTGTGACCAGGACAAATTTTCCTACGTTTTGTGGTATAAATTGTGTATGTACAGTGAAAATTGTGGCCGTATGAGCGAGTTGAAGAGAAAATTTCTTGATGAGTTTACAGCTGCTCTTCACTCTAGTGATGACATCACCCACTCTATCTCACGCAATACACACCCATTATAAAGTCTGAGAAGGGCTGAAAACTTCATGTATTTTAAACTGACTTTGTAGAAAAACTAAAAGAGATATTGAAAATTTGAATTAGTTCCTGAAAGTCGACGGGAGCGTCAACGTTTGAGAGTTGGAATGGAGTTTCTACGTCAATGTATGAATTCATGATGTGTGGGTGAAGATGAGTGAGTTTGAAGGATTTTCTCATTGACTTCCATTATAACAAAGTTTCAGAAAATGCTGAATATTTTTGAAAGTTTGAATGGGATTGAAAAGTTGAATCATATGTAAAATGTCAGCAAAATGATGAATATTTTCCATTTTGAATGGAGTTTCTAGCTGAAAGTATGAATGGGTAGTCACAGTTTGAAAAAAGGTGAAATTTTTAGATTTTTGAGGATTCCGTAATGCATTCCCAATGGGAAAAGGATTTGGGAAAAATCGGAAAAATCTCGGAAAGTATGAATGTTAGGAAAAAAGTGAATACATCCGTGAATGTCCTAATTCAGCTGAACGTTTTCATGTTTGAATGGTTTGAATCGGTTGAAGTTTGTGGAACTAGTAGCGGTCCAACCGTTTTCGCTCCATCCGCTTTAATAGAAGTCGGAATTTTAACGTTGAATTCCCGGGAAAATATTAACGTTATGGAAAAATCTGAAAGTTTCCGATAATGTCCTAATGAAGCCGAATCAGAAGAAGTTTGAATGGTTTGAATCGGTTGAAGTATGTTGAAGATAATTGATGTTGAAAAACGCGGCGGAAGAATAATAATAAGAAGAAGAAAAATAAAGAATTTTGGTAGTAGAAGAACATAGGTTGCGAATGCTTGCAGCATTCACACCCAATAACACATATTATGTGATAGTCATGGCACAGTGCGGCAAATATAGGTTGGTACGATTATAATATATGTGTTTCCAGAGTGTTCTTCCACAGGACACAGGTAGAGGAGGAAGAGGGAGAGGGAGAGGAGGAAGACCAGGGAGAGGAAGGGGGCGAGGGGGTAGAGGCGGTGCAGGAACGGCCTGGCGAGGAGTTAAAGTTAAAGTCCCACTGATTGTCGCACACCTGAGTGTGTGAAATTTGCTCTCCGCATTTGACCCATCCCCTGAGGGAGCATTGAGCAGCAGCGGTGCCGCGCTCGGGAATAGCATAGAGAAGGTAGTGTCTCGGCTACCCAGAGGGAAGAGGAGGAGGAGAAGGTGGCAGCCTTTGCAGCAGCGCGAGAGGAATCAACAGATTAGGCTGTAGGCTAGGCTAACCATTTAGCTGTAGCTCTGGGATAACGTTAGCCAAGGCTAGGATAACGTTAGCACGTAAACGTAGCCGTCACTTGAACTTAGACGAGAGGGAAAAGTAGTTGCAAACATGAAGCCAAAATGATTTTAAAATATCAGATTGAATTACCTGTCTAGCAGAAAGCAGGCAACCTTTGCATCCCTTGTGAAATCCTTCTCCTTCAGGAGTTCTTTCCACCACTGGAATAAGCAATGCCGTTATTCACTCGCTCTTTGTCCTGTCCTCACCCTCTAAAGCACTATTCGGACGGGATTAGTTTTACATGGGCACGTGGGGTAATGTCACTTTACCACAAGACGTCAGTAATATTAATGGCCGATTCGCACGGGATAAGAAATATCAGTAAAACTACCACAAGTGGGAGGGGTAAATCTATTCACGCACTGCCGTGCCCTCCTGCCATCATGAGCGTATGATAGGACTGTCAAAAGCACCATGAAATTGAGTTCGAATATTTTCTAATTCATTTAGTACAGTTCGAATAATATTAGAATTTATTATTATTATTATTATTATTTATTTATTTTTACAAAAAAAACCACAAAAAATAAGATGCTTATTGCTGACGCAATATGAACGTGACACTCGGATGAAAACACCCGTTCTGACCTCACTGAAGTGCCAGGTATGATCAACTTCTGTCTCGCTATCTGAGCAATGTTTGGATACTTTAGTGCGTAGTTTTCCACCACAAGAGTGGATCCTGGTCGGCTCGTAGTGGTGTCTCATTCTGGTAATGTTTCATCTTTTCTTCAGAAAGGGTAGGCAAGGAGGCAGCAGGTGCAACACTCTCCCTGTATGTCTCCCCCAACAGGTAACACATCACCGACAGCGCAGTGGGTGGTGTTGGTGCAGCGGGCTCCTCCGTGCTCAGCGGCATATACCGATCCCCAGACTGGCATAAAGATCCCTAGACTGGTATATACCGATCCCCAGACTGGTATAAAGATCCCTAGACTGGTATATACCGATCCCCAGACTGGCATAAAGATCCCTAGACTGGTATATACCGATCCCCAGACTGGCATACAGATTCTCGGAGTGGTATGCTGCTATTATGCCGCTGTTACTCCACCGACACACGACGGTATGTGCCGTTTGAAATTGTTATGGCACTGAGAGACGGTTGGATGGGTACCGCCCCCTGATGAATATGCAAATATAATGCCACTGGGCTGGTTTGACAAGTACTGCCGTAAATGTATACATTTTTTTTTGTCTTTATTGACAATGCTAACATGACACTTTACCGCAAGTAAAGGAACGTATGTATGTTATGTTGTTGGGATGTACGCATATAGACAGTAATTACACGTGGGACTCTTACTATATGATAGTAAAGTAATAGGCCTATGTCTAAATGTCCGCCTATAAACTACTTAAAGCTAATGAAAGCGCTAGCCTTAGCTAACATGGCTAATGTTAGCCCAGCCACCGTAGCCAGTCTGACTAATCGATAGCAGAAACTTTGAGCCAGCCAACAAAACAATACTTAGTGACAGGTTTTCATTATTAGGAGAACACAATAATACATTACTTCATATAAAATTTCCAGTCCAAATTATTGTGTCAAACAACTATTATATTAATATACTGGGGTATTTTTTTATGGTCCATCTTTGGATAGTCTGAAATGACAATCCACATATAAAACACTCACCAAAACTCACCTTTTTAAAATTGCTTTTAATGTATAATTTATCTCTTTCTTTATATTTTCAGTGTGTTTTTACATTTCTGTTTTTAACTTGTAAATTGTCTTTGTGTACCTGAAAAGTGCTATATAAAAATAAATGTATTATTTATTGATTACACCACATATAGTTTTACTATAAATTCCAGAGAGTGAAGATATAGTTACATAGACATAGGCAGTATTTCCATTACTCGTATATGAAATGTGTTTCTATGAGTATTTTAGGCTAAGTGGTATTTGACAGGGGTGAAATACATAACAAACATTATAGGGTGAAGTCATTTTTTATTTTCTAAATATTCTCTACATGACTCAAAACAGATAACCATAGTTTAAAAAAAAAAAAAGAAAAGAACGAGGCACCATCAGGCAGGAAAGAGGTGTTCCTGGACGGGCAGTGGTCCAGCAGAGAGACCTGGTGAAAAGAAGAGGAGGAAGAGGAGAGAAATGAGAGAGTGAGAGGGGCAGTCTTGCTAGGTACTACACTAGGGTTAAGAGATTCATTAAGCCTGACAATGAACTGAAAGGATAATGATAACAGATGTGAGGCATATTAAAAACAGTGCCTTCAAACTGCAAAAATGTAGTGTAGAAATGGTTGTTTTGGTGTTAGAGGGTTATTGACACTGTGACTGATCTAACTATTCATCACAGTCATGGCCTGTGAGAAGTTTCGGGCCAATGAAAACCCTGACATGTGGACAAACAAAAAATTCTGCTGCAAGCACAGGTTTGGAGAGGTGACCATGACCACTGGGCTGAACAGTGCAGAAGTAATTTAGACTTAACATTTTGAGAAACACAAACCCTGCTATTGATAATGCATGAAACATCAACAGCTAAAAAGGTAACTCATACTGAGTAGCGTTTGAGAAGAATGCATAGTACTTCTACTCAAGTATGATTTTAATACCAGTAGTTTTACTTGTAATTGAGTAATATTTTAGTAATGGGACTGTACTCATACTTTAATACAGATTATCAGTATTTCTACCACTGGGTTTCTCGTACAGAGCACATAGCACTTACCAGAGGGGAGGAGTTTGAACAGGTTGTTTCCAGTTGTGCACAAATGCTTCCTACCTGTTTGAATCATCTGGTTACTCTGTTGGAGCGCAGATTTGGCTGCAGTAACCTGGGTGAGGTGGCTCACTGTAGCATCCTCGTTTCTCTCCTCTCTTCCCTTGTCCAGTATATCCTTGAACAAGAAGAGAGATATGAATATTTTAGGTTTACATTACAACACAAATGTTTGCTGATAGAAAATTTATCTCAACAAGAATTAATGTACCAAAGGCCATAAAACTGCAACTGAGCACACTGTTATGAATCAGAAAACTGTCTTTTATTCCTCCAGGGAAGGATTTGTAAAGTGAACCACAGGCATTACAAAGTTCTATTGTATACATGTGTTTCAGCTCCTCCTGAAAAGCACTGGAGAACTTTTCAAGTTTCACAACACCTTTTGGAAAGAAAAACAATACATTAATACATAATTAAAACACACACAAATACAGTGACTCATTGAGCATCCCCAGAAGTTCAGTTACATTCATCATTAAGAAATGGAAGGAATCTGATCTGCCTAGAGCAGCCTGCTCTCACAAAGTGAGTGGCCGTGCAAGAAGGAGACTAGTGAGGGAGGCCACCAAGACACCTATGACTACTCTGAAGGAGTTAAAAGCATCAGCAGCTGAGATGGGAGACTCTGCAAACAACTGTTGCCCGGGTTCCTCACCAGTCAAAGCTTTATGGGAATACTTTTTATAGGCACTGCATATACATTTGCTTATGTTATGATTACTTACTGTTTAGCCATCGATAATGTGCTCTCTTTCGGAACCTTTCCGTTGACACAATGTCTTTGAACCTTTTGCATACAAGTGCAATCTTTGTAATTGCCTTGTCTCCTTCCACGAGGACGGTTTCAACAAATATTTCCTCAAGAAGGTCATCACCGAGCTGTGCAGACAAATTAAAAAAAAACAAAAAACATTACTGCACCAAAACGTTACTTGATTATTTCTCCGAATTGTAACAATGATGTATTTTGTACCTTTTAGCATGTATGTGGATGTGTTGGGTTGCACACAATGTGAGTGAATGACCATGATCTCTTATGACTGGTATTTACTATGCATGTAAAAATTGTAGTTATCATTGAATAATAAAGTACCTCCTCAATCTGTGTTGTTGGAGATGCTTTGGTTGTCTGCACATATCTTTGGTCTGGGGCAGTTCCACTTTCTGACCTGCCAAGTCATGGAAAAGGCATTAAGTTTATATGTGGAAGCTTGAATATGTAAATGCAATACTTGAACTCTTAAGTGATTAGTGGAGAAACATGACATGTACACTAGTGGTGTGATGATACACTCAGCTCATGAGAGAGACAATACATGATATTGGGTTCACAGGAATGATACATTTTTTAAACACTTTTTGTAAAGAGAACTTCTATGATGAAATATGTGACTGGAAAAATAGTGTTTTCACAAAATGCAAAACAATGCATTGTGAAATGTTTGAACTAGTTATTATCTTGTAATGAATGTCATTTCAGTTCTAATTTGTGACTGAGTTTGAATTATTATGTGCAGTAAAAGACACAAGCAATATTGTAACGTGTTGGGGAAAGCCCATGGATGTTCGACTCCAAAGTGGGCGTGGTTTGTGTGTGGTTCTCGCACCGTCAGTGAGGTGGTAAATCACCCCAATTATATGGTGAATTGTTATAAATGTTAATAAACGGTAGAGCTCGAACCTGGAGCTTGCCAACGTTACCTCTGCCTACTCCTTATTCCTGCCGCTCGATACAATATGTAAGAACTGTAAAAGTCTTTGCCACATTCTCAACTGCCTGGCTTGTTTCCTGTATATCTCATGATTTTTCTTCAGACCTTATGAGTGTGCACAAACTATGTGTGAGCTTCTAAAGTCTAATTTAAGTTGTGTGTGACGTTGTTATTGAACTTTCCATAAATTCAAAGTAAAAAATAAAAAGCAAGTAACATACAAAAGTTGTTTAGTCTTTTTTTTTTTTTTTTAGTGCAAACCGTAATAATGCAGTAGTCTCTCAATACTTTAAGTGCAAATAAAGACTGAAAATTTTTGTTCAAGCATGTTAAAGACAGCTGGCTACAAATACACTGGCCAGTATTTCTCAGTCGCAGTAGCGACACAATGGTTTGGCCTTGGAAGCTCGCAGTCACTCGCAGATGCTTGTAAAACTTTGTCTATGTTTGCACCCATAGACATATATACAAGTATGTTTGCACCTGTATAGGACTCTGTCTGCAGTAAAACATTTACCATTTTCCTGTCATTTGTCAGCGTTGTCTGGACTTTCAATGTTTTCTTTTAATGGTAGAGAGCTATGGTGGCTCTGTGAGTGTCTTAGCATAGTGCTCGTGTTAGCCGCAGTGTACGGGACTATTTTTTACCGCTTATAATGTGCTTTAATAGTGCTTACATCTTGTTCCTGCCTTTTCTGTCACTCTGTCGCCGCTTAGTGTTTCCACCAAGTACCCTGAATGCTGCCAGTTGAACGTCAGACTCCGCTATGCTGGCTGCAGCTCTGCGTTTGTTCTGTACTGATATCGCGAGACGGCTTTTAACTTCATATAGTCACAATTTTATATTGCGATATCTTGTGGCACAAGATGATTGTTGATCACGATATTGATTTGTGACATTTATGATGCTGCAATAATGTCATTGCTAAATCTATTAGAAAATGACATACACTTTATTTTCTTCAAAATTGCTCTAGGGGCTTCTGTTAGAATTTTTTTTTTTTTTTTTTTTGAGATGTGTAGTTTTGTGGCATTTTTAGACGTTCTACTATTTTACAAATATTGACACTTTTACACAGTAAATGTATTTCTACAAAAAGATAAGATAAGATAAGATACACCTTTATTGATCCCACAATTGAGAAATTCCAGTCTTACAGCAGTCAAGGGGAAAGAGTCAGATTAAAGATTTCAAAATTTAAAAATGTAAAAACAAACTAGGCATGCAAAAAGAACAGCAATAAATAATAATAATAATAATAGTAATAATGAGCAGTGAATAAAAAGTGAGCAGTGGATTAAAGTGAACATATTTAGTGCAAAGTGAATATTGTATGTGCAAATAAACAACAACAACATGGGGGACAGTTATGCTTATTATGGTGTCCATAAAGTGTCCATAGTGTCCCTAAAGTGTCTATGGTGCAGTTTACTGTGAGCAGTGCTGGTTATGTAGTCTGACAGCAGCAGGCAGGAAGGACCTGCAATAGCGTTCCTTCACACACTTTGGGTGAATCAGTCTATCCCTGAAGGAGCTCTCCAGAGCTTTTATCTCCTCCTGCAGAGGATGGGAGTCATTAGTCCTCAGAGATGACAGCTTGGCTGTCATCCTCCTTTCTCCCACCAACTGCACAGAGTCCAGAGAGCATCCCACGACAGAGCTGGCCTTCTTGATCAGCTTGTCCAGTCTCTTCCTATCTGCAGCCGAGACGCTGCTGCCCCAGCAGACCACTCGGTAAAAGATGGCTGATGCCACCACAGTGTCAAAGAAGGTCTTCAGGAGCGCCCCCTGCACTCCAAAAGACCTGAGCCACCTCAGCAGGTAGAGTCTGCTTTGGCCTTTCCTGTATAGTGCTGTTATGTGATTAGTCCAGTCCAGTTTATTGTTAAGATGAACACCCAGGTACTTATAAGATGTCACCATCTCAATGTCCTTTCCCTGGATGTTCACCGGTGTTGGGGGGAGGAGTCTGCACCTGCGGAAATCCACCACCAGCTCTTTGGTTTTCCCTGCGTTGATCTGAAGGTGGTTCCTCAAGCACCAGTCCACAAAGTCCTGGTTCAGTTCTCTGTACTCCCTGTCGTCCCCATCTGTGATGAGGCCGACGATGGCAGAGTCATCAGAGAACTTCTGCAGATGACAGGTGGAGGTGTCATATGAAAAGTCTGCAGTGTAGAGGGTGAAGAGGAAAGGTGCTAGCACCATCCCCTGCGGGGCCCCCGTACTGCAGACAACCAAGTCCGATACACAATCCTGGGTCCTGACATACTGCGGCCAGTCCGTGAGATAGTCCAGGATCCAGGATGTGAGGTGATTAGCCACCCCTATGTGCTCCAGTTTGTCCCTCAGAAGTGCAGGCTGTATGGTGTTGAAAGCACTGGAGAAATCAAAGAACATGACTCTCACAGAGCTTCCGGGCTTCTCCAGGAGGGAAAAAGATCTATACAGGAGGAAGATGACAGCGTCGTCCACCCCAATGCCAGGCTAGTAGGCAAACTGCAGCGGGTCCATTGAAGGGCCTACTGTTATCAAATATCCACTTGACTTGACAAATTTGGATAGGTAAGGCTACATAAATGGAAGACAGATTTGAAATATTGCCCACCTATGCTTTACCACTCACTAGAATCTTTGTTTCACTGACTTACAAATACTGCTTCTTTATGCTAATACATTACCATTCCATCTTGTTTGACCAGAAGGTGGTGCTTAGCAGAATACATTCTGCTTCATACCGGCAGATGCTGAACCGCTGTGTCAGCCACCTGATGTTTACCTGGAACAATTTTTTTAAAATTTGTTGGTTGGTTTTAATATGTCACAATTCAATTTAATCCACGGGCAAGAAATAATTAACTTTTTTTATTTGTCTAATTTGGAAACAAAAGTATATGTTCTACTTACCTCTGGCAAAATGACTTCATTTAAGTAGGCATCTCTATCAGCAACAGCCACTTGTTTGGCAACAAGCCCTTCTAATCTGTCAGTGAGTTCTCCTGTCTGAAATATTGATAATGACAACATTAATATTTGCCTTTATTTTCAGATCGTATGTATTTCATTTGTAGAGACACTGTGAACTTGTATTTTTACTTTTCAGGTGCTTATTAACATATTAGCATTAAATGCATGCATAATCTTTACCTTTATGTCGTCAAAAACAGACAGGTGCTCAGCATAGTATGCTTTTAGTGTCGGGTCAAATCCTGTGTTTCTGAACAGGTACACTCTGTTTGACAGAATGACAGCTGACAGAAGATCTATCTCCAAACACTGAGAATACAACATAGTTTAATCAGTCCAAATACCTTTAAAAAACAACTCTGAATCTCTTTGTCAGTCAAAATGCTGTCTGCCTGGGTGGATTCCACAATATCCCTGCAAGAATTAAAAGCATGAACTATGAGGTCAGCTTTTACAGCAAAGACATTTATCTGAAAAAATGTTCCTAATTGACTTTTGAGCTGGGGGAAAGGAATTTCTTTGAAATTCCGTACTACTAACACAATTAAAAAACATCACTGTTAGACAAATTATGGACTGTCATGTTTCATACAGTAATGAAAGAGAACGATAAAATTATAGCAAGTTCTTTGAGAGTATTCTTTAGTTTTATTTCTATTTTTTTTAGGTTACTTAACAGAACAGGAGCATGTGTCATATACTTACAGATATGTACCCATGTCTCGATCACAACCACAATGGAACTCTGTGGTGGTCACGTCTCCTTGCACACCTGCACATTCAAAGTGGATCCAACCTCCACAGCCTTTACACTCGAGCCAAGAATAGGTTTTAACTTGACTGTGTAGTGTTCTACAAGACAAATTGAAACTGTCTTATCAGCTTATTTGACTATATTTACCATAAAATTGGAGAGACCTTAATTATGCTCTACTTTTGTAACAAACACATGGCATGCATCATTACACAAATGCTGCATATTGCTGTTCGATTTCTTTCTTCAATACCTCTTTGTGCCAGTTACCCTCTGAAACACACAGGCTTGTTTTTCCCAGGCCAAGCAATGACAGTTGGAGTCACTTTCTTTTTTTTCCTGTTGATGAATCCTGGCCTCCTCATATTGTATTATTTTGGAGGTCTTCTTTGGGGAGTGGGAAAGTCTTTGTGAATGACAAAGAAAACAAAAACAAACAAAAAAACATTACTCAGAATTCTCTTTGTGTAAACATTGGCTTTAAGCCAAAAGTGTAATATATCTGACCTGAACACTCAGGCCTCTTATCATCTCAGCCGCATTGTGTCTCCTTAGAGTTCGACACTGGTTGAGGGAGAGATCGTCATTGCTGACATCTCTGTTTTGGACCTCATTCTCAGCTGCCTTTTTTGGGATAAAAACATAGTCACAAAATGCATACAAGACAGTTATTTCTTGTTGTTATCCAGTTTGTGTGTTTTACAAATGATGAAATCTCCTAACAAAGCTTAAAGAGTTTACTTACTGAGCACACAAAGATCCCGCAGTTATCATGGTCTCTCTGCCTCCACTGCTTTGGGAACGTGACCATCCATCCCTTAAGTCCTCCGTGGTTTCTGAAAACATTACTTTCATACATTACTTTCATAACAAAACATAAGGGGTCACATTTCTATGACAGTAATTCCCTTGCCTAAATTTTTGAACCACCCTCAGAATTATGTGTCTTAACTTCTCACCTCAAAAAAGCCATGTCGTCATCTGTCATTGTTGTGTGAATCCTCAAAGAATCGTACAATCTGAATTCTTTGTCTGAAAAGTCTAGTACCTAAGTCATAAAGATACCAGAAGCAGATATATCTGCAGTTACATCTTTAGTTTTGTCTAACAGAGAAAAGGTAATGCTTTTAATAGCCACAATGATAACTTTCTGAGCCGAGTTATCGTTATGCATTTATATATCGTCCATCACTCTGTCTTATTACACCATTAAGGCTATACAAAATAACATATCAATTATACAGTAAAGCATTACAAATGAAACCACATGTTCTATGACTTTTTTATTGAAGTATGTCCTTTGCGTGAGAATTATATTTCTATGCTGGTAAATATCAATGTCCTTCAAAACATAAAAATGCATATTTGCATGTCAAATATGAGCTCAACTACCATGGGGGGATGCAACACTACCCTTTAGTAACTGATCAATTTAAAAATTACACTTATTATTCGTGTTATTTATTAATATTAGTGTTAAAAATGTCTTGCATAATATTTGAAATATAGCATCACATGTTTCTTGCAGTCTTCATTCTGAGTGCATCTTTGGGTGGTAATTTTGACACCACTTTGGCTACTGCTTACCTGCTGTTCACTTTAATTCTTGGAGGTACACAAAGTAAAATAACACACAAACTGAACATGTTGCTAAAACTGTGCTTCAGCAGACATAGTCCAACCATTTCTTTTGAATAATTACAGTGATATACAGTACAGGCCAAAAGTTTGGACACACCTTCTCATTCAATGCGTTTTCTTTATTTTCATGACTATTTACATTGTAGATTCTCACTGAAGGCATCAAAATTATGAATGAACACATGTGGAGTTATGTACTTAACAAAAAAAGGTGAAATAACTGAAAACATGTTTTATATTCTAGTTTCTTCAAAAAAGCCACCCTTTGCTCTGATTACTGCTTTGCACACTCTTGGCATTCTCTCCATGAGCTTCAAGAGGTAGTCACCTGAAATGGTTTCCACTTCACAGGTGTGCCTTATCAGGGTTAATTAGTGGAATTTCTTGCTTTATCAATGGGGTTGGGACCATCAGTTGTGTTGTGCAGAAGTCAGGTTAATACACAGCCGACAGCCCTATTGGACAACTGTTAAAATTCATATTATGGCAAGAACCAATCAGCTAACTAAAGAAAAACGAGTGGCCATCATTACTTTAAGAAATGAAGGTCAGTCAGTCCGGAAAATTGCAAAAACTTTAAATGTGTCCCCAAGTGGAGTCGCAAAAACCATCAAGCGCTACAACGAAACTGGCACACATGAGGACCGACCCAGGAAAGGAAGACCAAGAGTCACCTCTGCTTCTGAGGATAAGTTCATCAGAGTCACCAGCCTCAGAAATCGCAAGTTAACAGCAGCTCAGATCAGAGACCAGATGAATGCCACACAGAGTTCTAGCAGCAGACCCATCTCTAGAACAACTGTTAAGAGGAGACTGCGCCAATCAGGCCTTCATGGTCAAATAGCTGCTAGGAAACCACTGCTAAGGAGAGGCAACAAGCAGAAGAGATTTGTTTGGGCCAAGAAACACACCAGTGGAAATCTGTGCTTTGGTCTGATGAGTCCAAATTTGAGATCTTTGGTTCCAACCGCCGTGTCTTTGTGAGACGCAGAAAAGGTGAACGGATGGATTCCACATGCCTGGTTCCCACTGTGAAGCATGGAGGAGGAGGTGTGATGGTGTGGGGGTGTTTTGCTGGTGACACTGTTGGGGATTTATTCAAAATTGAAGGCACACTGAACCAGCATGGCTACCACAGCATCCTGCAGCGACATGCCATCCCATCCGGTTTGCGTTTAGTTGGACGATCATTTATTTTTCAACAGGACAATGACCCCAAACACACCTCCAGGCTGTGTAAGGGCTATTTGACCAAGAAGGAGAGTGATGGAGTGCTGCGGCAGATGACCTGGCCTCCACAGTCACCGGACCTGAACCCAATCGAGATGGTTTGGGGTGAGCTGGACCGCAGAGTGAAGGCAAAGGGGCCAACAAGTGCTAAACACCTCTGGGAACTCCTTCAAGACTGTTGGAAAACCATTTCAGGTGACTACCTCTTGAAGCTCATCGAGAGAATGCCAAGAGTGTGCAAAGCAGTAATCAGAGCAAAGGGTGGCTATTTTGAAGAAACTAGAATATAAAACATGTTTTCAGTTATTTCACCTTTTTTTGTTAAGTACATAACTCCACATGTGTTCATTCATAGTTTTGATGCCTTCAGTGAGAATCTACAATGTAAATAGTCATGAAAATAAAGAAAACGCATTGAATGAGAAGATGTGTCCAAACTTTTGGCCTGTACTGTACATGTGTTTAACAACATTTTTATAACATTGTTGATGTGCTGTAAGGTTGGCCTACCCAAAGGATAAAATGATTTCCAGTCTCAGGAGTGCTGTGACCAACAAGCCTTGGCAGTAATATTCGGTCTGCGATCTAGTGCAGTGGAGACAATATTGATTTCAGTATTAAATGTCCATGATAAAAAGACAGATTGTAAAGACAACGTATCTTTCAAGAATGGCAAAACACACCTTTAAATGTTTGAGAGTCTTGTCCCGGACATGGCCATGTCTTATCCAGTCCTGACTCCACAGAATATAATCAAAGTGAGCCAAACTCACAGACTGTGCAGTGGGGATAAAGATTTATAAGTATTACTGTCTCCTAGTTTTATTGAGGATGTTGTGTTTGTTCAGAATTAACCAAAAACATACACACAAGTACTACATATTACCTTACTGCAGCCCTGTGTAATTTGTGCCACTCTGAAATTGACAGCCTGAATAAAAAAAATGGTGATATAACTTTTTGCAGGATTTAGCACACAAAAATTGGCACCATAAACGTGAGTAAACATATACATCTTAATAGATTTAATAATGTTAACAGTACTGTCATACTCACATGATCTGTCAGCCATGGCATCATCAATGAGGTGTCCTCCAGTAGATCCAGAGGGCAAACACTCTTAATGTCCTTAACTGAAATCTGGAACTTTCTCCCGATTTTTGTCAAAACTTGATTTTCGTCCCGAGATCCAGTTAGAAGAGTTTTCAAAGTTCTCTACAAACAGCAGTGCTTTCTATTAGCTTATACAGTTCATAGTGATTATGGAAGTACAAAAGGACAAAAGTTATGTTCACATTGTACTTATTTTCAAACTGGATTTTTGTGAAAAACATCAGATGCAGCTACTAACCTTGTCCTCTTCAGAAATGCTATAGTTGCTGGCCTGAAAACTGCTGCCTGGGACCTTGTCTGCTGGAACAGCAGTAGGTGGCGGTGGAGGTGGCACTGCCACACTGCCAGATGTCTTCACTGAAAATATATATATATTGAAAGGCATATATTTACTGTCTTTTGTCTTTACACAGGTAAAAAGGCACTATTCCTTAACACCAGTGTTATTTATAATGTAAAGGGTCTATTGCATGCCCTCGGTTGTTAAATAATGGAAGAGCAATGCAATAGTGTGCATCCTGTGTGCTGTGATAACAAAAATACAGATACTTTTAAGTTGTGTGACATAGTGTCACAATACTTTGTGTAATACAACTCCTATATTTCTACTCACATATACTAAACACACCACTGTCGAAAAAATGTAAACAAACCTGAAGACGAGTGTGCCCAGCAGACCCAATGTCAGGGGCACGGATGACTGTTTTGTGATGTCATCAAGGAATTTCTTGTTGATGCTGCAGTTGTGCATTTCCAAAAGAATCCTGATAGTTTGTTTGAAATGTACTTTGCTCATTTGAGTAAGCGAGTACTTGGTAGCTGCTAACTCGCGGTTCATCTGTTCCGCAACGGATGAATTGATTTTGGAGCGTAAACTGGGGCACAAGTTTAAACTCCTTAGGCTCTCCTCAGGTCTCTTCTGGTTCTTCTGGTGAAAACGGTCGTACAGTGCATATCTCTCAGTTGTTTTGGTAACTGGATGAGGCAATATCCATGGATTATATTTTTCTGCTGGTAGTTTTAAGGGGGGATGTGTATTTATGTTTTTTACCCAGGCCATTTCAATTTTGAGTTTCTTCTCTGCTGCTGTTGCCAAATTCTCCTTGGTTGGTTCACACAATCGCCCGTCATTTTGGCTGGAAGAACAGTTGTTGGCTTCGATTGTTCATGTGTCTGGCAACTTGACCTGACACATCCGAGATAAAGCATGTCGGGAATGCTTTAAAGCTCAGCAAACCATCAACATGGTCCCTGGCAGATTCAGTCCAAAAAAGAAATTCAAATAGTAAACCACTCCTTGAGGGCGAGAAATGCAATACACCACCTGTAAATAATAAAAGAAAGCATAAGCAGAGAAAAAAGACCAACAAGACATAATCATTTCATAAAGACATCTCATTTTGAAGTCTAACCTCCAGTCTTTTGCAGCTTCAAAAAGCTTTGGATACAGTTCCTTGAAGTTGAGGAGCTCCTCCAACCTATTCACGAGGTCAGTGATGGATCCCTCATCACTGACACCAAGTGCATGACAGGCCTCCTGCAGGTCTTTCTTTTGAGGCTGTGGGTGTTTTGGACAGTATGGGCCAGATCCTCAAAAGGATTGCACTGCTTTTGCAACCGCTAAACCTGTGCAAATGAGAGAAAAAAATAGCGTGCAATCCACAAAGCACACGCAAAGGGTGAAATGCAAGCAAACTGAACACAAACTGAACTGCCACTACTAGCTGCGCCAGTCCAATTTACATGCATGTAAATTAGGGAATATTCATAAATTCTGCGCAAAATTGCCCCCTTCTTATGCAAATAATCCTCATTGCAAATACCACCTAATCCACAAAGACCAAGCGGTGCTATTTAACGCCAGTGAGACCCGTGTATTAAATCCGCGCAATTTCTCTTTCTCCCTCTCTCACTCTCTCTCTCTCTCTCTCTCTCTCACGCAAAATGATTGCAAATTTCACTCAGTTGGTGGTAACTGTGGAGCATAGCCTATGTAAGGGCTGTCATGCCAGGACTCCGGTAATCATGGCAGCAGTGATTGTAGCCAGGCGAAGGCACCATAATGGCAGGCGCGCACCAGAAAGGATTTATCGGAAGAGAGTATCACTTTTTGATTTAAGTGACAATGAAATCATTTGCAGATACCGGTCGCCAGGCCGCATGATCCTTGCGCTACTAGATGACATCAAGGATGACACTGAGCCTGCCACCCAGAGATCCCATGCTTTACCTGGCATTGTCAAATTAGTGTCTACTAGTGATGCGCGGATGGGCTCTGACGGCACCCGAATCTGCATCTATCCATCAATCATCCATCCACCACCCATCCGAGCAAATTAATTTTCTGTAATTACAGACCCACATCCACCCGCACCCGCATGTTTATATTATCAGGAAAGATTAGATCCTGACCGATCCAGTCAGCTGACTGACATTAAAATAATCAAAAAAATGGCGCCGTTACTCCGTGCGTAAAGGCGCACATTGGCACTCTTAATGAGGAGACACTCATTTCTGCTGCTGCGGGGATCACTGTGTTAAATAAACCCTTCCACATGACACATTTAAAGAGTATGCTTGCCCAGCCAATCATACATTATTTATCAGCGGGATATAAGCATGATGATATAGAGGGCCTATTGTATTGCACACGACACAAGTAGGCTCATTTCACATTTTAGAGCATGCAATACATTTTCCCCTCATTAATGTTTGTCAAAGCAATTTGTAAACTTTGTTTTTAAAGGGTGCGATTTAAATAAAAGTTATTATTAGGCTATTATTTTCACCCGCCCATAACCCATCCGCCATTAATCAGATTGTTCATTTTTATCACCCGATCGACCTGGCGGTTATAACTGCCATCCGCGCATCTCTAGTGTCTACACTACAGGTTCTTGCATCTGGCTCTTTCCAGAACCCCATTGCAGGCGTCTCAGGGCTCTCACAGTCATCCATCAGCAGGGCCATGTGCCGCAAATTGCGCTCAGCTGCCAAACTTTGTGGGCGTGTTAGCGCCGGCATATGATTAGAGCAAATTCTTTTGAGGATAAGGCGCTAAAACAGGGCAGATTGCGTGAGCTAATTCTGCGCAAATAATGGCGCTATTAGCAGGAGCAATCCATTCTTTGTGGATCTGGCCCTATGTTTTTTGAATGAAAATCTTTAGACAATATAAATGACAACAATAACTACTAACATTTTCAATATAACACACCTTCTTCAACTCAAGCAGGGTCAGAATGGTGTCTTCATCCAACTGTCTGGCTGGCACTTTTGAGTCTTCTTTACTTTTTTTCATGCCTTTCTTTACCTCTGTTTTGGGAAGTGTGTCCTCCTTTCTCACATCCTCCCCCATCCAAGGAGCCAATGTCGAGTACGATGTCTTGGACTCATATGGGTTTCTAGTTGATGTACCTGGGGATATTTTTAAATGATAAACATAAGTTTCATTAACATTAATGTCATACTCTATCTAATTTACAGATATGCAGGCCTGTGTAATGCGCGTGATATGTAAAACCAAACTGCCAAAACAAAAAAAATCATACTGTTTTCCTGGTTACTCTGAATAACGCATTTTTTCTGTAGCTTACTCACAGTCCTGGCTACAAAATATGAAATTGGGCTGATTTTAAATGACCATTTATAGCAAAAACTGTACTGGAAGCATTCATGATCGGAATTGTAGGGCTTCATTGCTGTGGACTGATGACTGTGATCTGTATCCACTTTTTATATCAAATGAATTATGTGGAAAAAAAGTTTACTCTACACAGAACTGCTTACTTAAGGGTATACTCTCTATTGTGGCATAAGTGAGCAACATTGTGGCGCCTTAAACTTTAATAACAGGTATGCATGTTCCTGTCTAGCTTTAATTATAATTTTGGCCACAGGACAGGCAAGTGATGACAGATCAGTGTCAATTTTCTGTGCAGGCCATTCAGTTCTTATGGATGCAGACTTACAATAAAAATGAAGGTTGTGGGTGAAAAGTCAAAAAATCGAGTCTTACCCTACAAAATCTATTTTGTATTTTGTGAAAATGCGTGGATATCCCCAAATCATATTGGTGACAAACCGTAATTAAAAGAACACCCTTTTTTCCAGATTTCATTTCAGAATAGGCAATTGATAGTTTTGAAGGTACACAGATTAGCAATTAATTACATTACAAAAAAGCACTTTTCAAGTTCATTTGGAGCTTACAAAACCATATCAAAGTTATGCCAGAAGTGTTTCTATACAAGAACAACTTAAATGTAGTTTGACAAATCAATCCCCTTTCCATGGGCCACTTTTGTCTTGTCATTCTTTGTTGAAATAAAACTTTAAGCATGGACAGGCAAGATTGTTTTTCTTTTCAATACAGCTAGGGTCAATCTGCTCCTAAACATTAATATTTACATTGAAATTTCCTATCAAAGTGGATAATGTTACGGATTTCCTTTCATCAGTAGTGTTTGCAAGGCCACAAACCACATTTACATTTTTAAATAGTATGGATTTAAGTCCTCCAAAGACTAAATGCAAAAGTATGTGTGGAGTAGTAGTTTGTAAAACCTTTTTACTGTAATTGTGAAGCCAAGCTCGTGGAAATGTGGTTATGGGGCCTAGGATAGGAACTTTAAATTTCTAAAGCAATATACAAACCTGATATAAACCCCTCAGCTATCATTTCGTTGTCTAGCATAATTGCAGACATCACTAAGTGTAGTTAGATGTTCATGTATATGTTGTAGGCTCACCTGGTATGTCAAAGGCTACCTTCCAGTTTGCATCTGCAATTATAACTGGAGGGCAGTCACCACACTGGTCGCAACTGAACTTGAATGTGAAGTCTGTCAATGACAGAAAGTGATGAAAAGCTCTTCTGACCATTTGGTGGTGGAAACGGCTGTCATTGAAGAATGACAGGGTTGAGAGCATTCGTCCAGGAGCGGTTTTGTTCTGAGAAATACATAAAAACCTGAGTCAAAAAAATATGTGTAATTGCTCTTGTCACACACGACAGTCCTGACACATTACTTTTCTGTTACCATTAACCTCAACAACCAATTAAAATAGTGATTGTG